CTTTTCCCCTTACTGACTTTTCACTTCTGTTATCTTGGACTCTCAGTGATTATTATGTATTTATTATAGATAAATCGCAAAAAAAGTGAGACGCCAGTGCAGGAATGACAACTCGGACCTGTGATATTGTAATCCGTGCTCACAATCCGTGCACAATGTACATTTATTTAAAATTGTGACGATCTGATTTGTTAGTGAAATGATTTAACTGAAGTGATAACAACAAATGATAACATCCATTCGTCATCTACTTTCGTTAGTGCCTAATCGTTAACTTATAGGTATTAGATAGTGATAGTTATTGCGTGTCTTTCGATATATTTCTAAACTTCTCGATGCTAAAAGTTTTGAACCAAATAAATAATTAAATAGTTAAATTATCTAAATTGCAAGTGTCACAAATTACGAACTGAGTTTCGAATTCCACATCGTTAAAACTTAAGAAAAATTTTTTCCTTTCTGTTTCGTTCAATTTCATTTATTCTTCAGGATTGCATTATTTGATTTATTTTAAATTATGAAATTCTAAGTTGTCCCTTTGAACAAAGGTTCCATCAGAGTTCCTTGTTTTTCTATCATGTGTTTTATCAGCAACAAAAGATATGGTCAACGCAAAGTTTCAAACACTTTTTTAATTGATCAGTTTGTAAAATTGGTCTTCTAATTGGCCCATCAAACGCTTCAAAGCATTGAGACTTTAATCATAGCCAAAATATTCAGGTAGTCATACCTGCAATCAATAGAAAATTTTTTAAAACACACTATCTCCACCAGTATCAAGAATTTGTGGTGGTCAAAGTCTCGCTACAAATGCTTTGAAGCGTTTGATGGCTCAATTAGAAAAAAGAATTTTACAAACTGATCAATTAAAAAACGCTTCAAAACATTTGCAATATCACGTTGACCGTACTTTTTATCTCGACTTTTTTCCTGCGTAAAGGGTCACGTGATCATTTCCATAGGCTCGTATCTAATAAATATGAGGCGCCGACGGGCCCGTAATCTCGTTTTTTCTTTTGTAAACAACTGCATTTTTCTTGCTTTTTTCTCCAATCAATTCATCTTGTTCAATCAAAATAGAACGAACAGATAGAGAGGGAGACTGATATAAAAAAATTGTATTTTTCCCTTTAAAATCGCGATACTTTTATTTCTTTTTAAAATGAGAACCGAGATATTTAAGCCTATTCTACAATGTGCTTTTTGCTTCTTATTATTCTTTTTACTATTTTTTATATCTTGTTTTTTTGCTTCTTATCCAGTTTTTTGTTTTATGTCACCCGAGATAAAAATTAATGAACTTCGAAAGAAGCAAGAAATATAATTGTCGATAAAACGTTGCAAAGGAGAAAAAAGCAAGATAGGAAACAAAGAGCGCATTGTAGAACAGGCTTTAGAAAATGTCATCCTAGATGGCACAAAGAGTTCAAAAAGAATTCAACAGGGTTAGTGGATAATAACTAGTTAAAACATTAAAAGTTAAAAAGTTAATAACTTTTAACTTAACTTAATTAATTTTAAATGCATTAAATTTTAACTTAACTAAATTATTTTTAAACGTTAACTTTTTAACTTTTTTTTAACAATTTTTTAATTTCTTTTAAATATCTTAGAAAAATAATAAGACATAATAAGACTAAGAGCGTATATTCGTAATCTGTTCATATTTTAAGACCATCTTAAGTAATTTCTTAAGATGCTAATATAGCTTTTTGATTGGTTTATGCGGTTATGCCATAAATCTTAAGTCGTAAGAAATTGACCAATTACAGTCAAATATTCTTCTCGCATTCGATTGTAATTGGTCAATTTCTTATGACTTAAAACTTATTAATCACTGATCTTGTATCTTCTCTACACTGACTACATCTGCACTGACTGTTTTTTTAAAGTTATATA